TTCGCCATTTTCAAGCTATCTGGAGTGGATTTTTGGGATCAGCGCAATAACCCCAAGTAAACCAAATTTCAATAGGTTTGCCGAGTCACTGCCTTCAAGACAGCACAATACAAGAATTTTGCCTTTACCAACCTCTTAGTCTGACTGGCACATCATCACTCCATATCGCATCATTATAATGATCGAAAGAGTACACGTACATCTTCGATCCGTAAGGACGTCGCGCAGTGACCTCATCTATGAGCGGGACGTTGAATGTCACATCAGTGAGAAACTAAACACATTGGTATATGTATTGTATATGTATATATGTATAACTTTGCAAAGCTCTTGCCTCTGTGTATCGATCCAAATAAAATTCCCAGGTAGAATCATCATCTCGATCTACATAGTAACTCTTTGCTGCTTTGTATACCTCTTCTGTTTTATTGCCGTAGAAGTCGGGACGTATCATTCTCTGGAAGTGGAGATAACATGAATTTTTATCGACAAAGTTTATTTGAGCCTTCCTACCTTCAGGAAATCGACCAAGCTATTTTTGTCGAATCTTTTGTAATCAGCCGGACTCAATCCGTACATGTGGATGTAGGGCGATAACCATTTCAGTGCTAAATATAGCAACTTTCTTTACTAACAAGTACAAGTTTCTCTTCACTATATCAAAATAATTACATTAAACGGAAAAAAAGATTGTACTGTTCTTTTTACCAGTTCCATGGGTCTGCCTTACACCAGTTTTCAACGAAAAATCCACACTTACTCTTATAATTGAAGAGATACTCTGCAAATCTTGAGTTAATTATTTTGAGTTTTACAGTTTTCAGAATTAGTGCAGGCGATTCATGGGTTTCTTCAGTGCAATCTCGAAGTCAAGTTTAACGTACTTGCTTCTACAAAAAAATTAACTCACTGAAGAATGTCCCATCTTTGTCACCAACGCCAACTATGGAAGGCTTCGGTGGAGCTGTTGTGACCATTTCGTCTGGATAAGTCAAGAATTCCCCATCAAGGACTGGACCCCATTTGACACTATCCAGTGTAGATTGCGTGTAACCCTATATATGCCAAATGACTCGATATTCACCAAAACCAAGGAGCACAGAAGAGACTTACTACATCGAGAACCGCATCATAAATCTGGTCCACGGTTTTTGACTTCATGCATGTTTTAAGGTCATCTCCAGTACAGTTCAGTTCCTGGAAATGGTCACTGTTTACAATACAATGTATTGCTCTAATAGCCGTCACAACGAATTCAACAACCCAACGAAATTTACCTTTGCAAGTTCTATTGAGTTTTTGGCTACATTTGGACCAATACCCCAGAAGACCCAAGGTGACCCGGACATCTCGATTGAACCAGCAACATACTCTGCAAAACACGTATTTTCAAATGCAATTTTATTTTAATATTACCCACCTCTAGAGACAGGGCTCAGGGCAAGCTGACCAGCAGCGGCACCTCCTGCACTCAGTCCCCATACGGTAATACGTGTGCGATCACCACCGAAGTTTGGTGCATTGTCATAGATAAACTAAATTTTTAGAGATGTATGGACTTGGAACAAGCATTTTGAGAGAAATAATTACTTTGAGAGCAGCTGCCATGTCGAACAGTCCAAGATTACCCGGGACCCGTGAGTCACCAGTCGAGAAAAAACCTAACAAATAACTTATTTTGAAGAAATCTTCTCTTTTTTTAATCTTGTCTATCAAAAAACTATTTTTTGCAGCTTGTTTTGTGCTCAAAAATCTGAGTATTCTATCGAACTACGGTATACCTTGTGTAAACTCCCTGATATGCATATTTTGAGAATTTCTCCACAATTCCAGAACTTTGTTATCACTTACCGTACACTCCAGTGCGATACTGTATCGTAACAGAGATAACGTCGTTTGGCACATAGATATCGGCAAACCCTGCGTAACCAAAAGCGCTCGAAGCTCCGACTTCATAGCCACCACCATGAACCCAGAATAGTATCGGGAACCCTTCTGGTGGAGCCTGAACACGAGTATGTGAACAAATTCACTTCGACGAAAAAAATAAAGAAATTAGAAAGCGCGTTCACAGGTGGCGGGGAGGGGGCGGGGGAAGGAGGAAGGGAAAATGAAGTTTTATTG